CTGTTGCCTACATTACTCGTGCGGAAAACACAATCTGCCAGTTACTTCTTGCTGCCACCAGTACATTTGAACCAGCAAATGTTGATCCCTCTATTTCAAAGTTTCTGCAAACTGCTCTCTTGACAATGGGCCATGTGACCCGTGAGCTGGGTAGTCTTACAGCCACGCTCCTGGCAGCCCGCCACCAAGTGTGGCTTGCCCAAGCACGGCTACCTGAGGACTGTAAGAAAACCTTGAGAGATCTTCCATTTGTTCCTGGGCATCTTTTTGGTCCTAATGTTCCGGAACTGTTGGAAAAGTGGGTAAAGCTGTCTGAGGCCACTCGTCAGCTGACGCAGGTGCAGCACAACCCTACCTTTAGGATGCCAGCAGTTCAGACCAGTCATCACTATGCCACATCGGAGCAACGTTTACGCCGGCACGCTACAACTCAGTCACAGCCCCCTCAAATATCTCGTGTTACTGAGGATGCGAGAGTTTTTCGGCCACCTCATCGACAGTTGCCAGGGGGACCCCGTCAGCGCCCCCACGCGACCACTAAAAGTCACACACATAAAGCTTGAGACATTTTGAGACAATTGCTGTTCATCACAGAAAGTTTCTGCGTTTCAGTTTCCTGAATCAAGCGTACCAGTTCAAAGTGCTGCCTTTCGGGCTTTCCCTTGCTCCTCGCGTCTTCACAAGGTGTATGAGCGCAGCTCTTTCTCCTCTTTGGATAAGATGTATGCATATTCTGCCCTGTTTGGACAACTGGCTTCTTTGTGCCCCCACGAAACAGCAGGCTGTGCAAGACTCCAGACTACTTTTGAGACATGTGCGGAAGTTGGGTTTTACTGTGAACGAGAAAAATAGCTGTCTGATTCCATCACAGACCACTACGTTCATAGGAATGACCCTGAATTCCCACCTAATGTCTGCCTCCCTGTCTCAGGGACGTGTGACAAACATTCTGCAACTTTTGGCTCGCTTTCGCCAGGGTGTGTCTTTGCAGTACGAGGTGGTCCTGCGACTAATAGAGATGTTAACGGCGGCCACAGTGGTGATTCCCCTGGGTTTACTCCACCTCAGACCACTACAGTTATGGAACAACAGTTTGCGGCTAGATCCCACCAGACATTGCCCTTGGCTGGTTGTAATCTCTCACCGTTGCATCCGTGCGTTGAGGCGGTGGGGACCGGTAGAGTTTCTGAAGGCAGGAGTGCCCCTGGGTGTTGTTCCCTCTTGTCGGGAACTGGTCACGACAGACGCATCCCTCACAGGGTGGGGGGCAACGTGGAATCTGAGAGGTATTTGCGGGCGCTGGACACCGACCCAGGCCACAGAACATATCAATCTGCTGGAACTACGCCACAGTCTTGTCTTCAGTTTTCTGACGGGTGCACAACGTCTGAACCCTGCTCGGACTCCTCACTTCCCTGTGTGGGATCTGCCACTTGTGCTTACGTTCCTTTGCTCATCCCAGTTTGAGCCCTTGCAAAGCACTGACATTAAATGGATGTCCTTGAAGACTGTTTTTTTGTTGGCTATCGCGTATGCGAAACGAGTCAGTGAGTTGCACGCGCTGTCTGTTAACGAATTGTGCTTGCGTTGGTTGCCGGATGATTCC